AGTGTCAATTGAGGGGTTTCGACATCAGAGCGTGTCCTTCCAATGAAAGATGTCACGGCATTTTAAAAGTGTAGGGACGAGGGCCGGGGATTTAGCTCAGTGATGCAGCCACCTGCCTGGCAAGTGCAAGGTCCCAAGTTTAACCCCAGTACCAAAAGAAAAGGAAAGGAAAGGAAAAAAAAGAAAGGGGTAGGGTTGAGGTGGCTGTCAAAAAGAAATGAGAATGCATGTTTACACAAAGACTTGTAGAAGAAAGCTTGCATCAATGTCATGTCTAGTAGCCCAATAGCCACGAACTCCTAAATGGACAAGTAAACTGCAGTATGTCCAGATGTGGAATATTCATTAACAATGAAAGAATGAACAGCCGGGCGTGGTGGCGCACACCTGTAATCCCAGCACTCGGGAGGCTGAGGCAGGAGGATCGCTGTGAGTTCAAAACCAGCCTGGGCTACATAGTAAGTTCCAGATCAGTCTCAACTACACAGTAAGATCCTGTCTCAGAAAACAAAAACAAAATGAAAGAATGAACTACTTAGCTGAATAATTCATACCTGTGGTCTATGGTACATACCTGTAGTCCTAGCTACTCAGAAGGCTGAGGCAGGAGAATTGCTTGAGCTCAGGAGTTTGAGACCAGCCTGGAAAATATAGCAAAATCCTGTCTCAAAAAAAGAAAACAGTGGACCCGGGGATTTAGCTCCATGGTACCACACTTATCTCGCAAACGCAGGGTCCTAAGTTCGATCCCCAGTACCAAAAAAAAAAAGAAAGAAAACAGAGCCAACAATAACAACAACAACAACAAAACTATCGATACACTCTACAACATGGACAAATCTCCAAATAGTTATATTAATAAGAGAAATCAGATGGAAAAGACCACATACTGTATGATTACATTGATAGAAAGATATCTAGAAAGAGAAAATTCATAGAGACAAAAAGGGTACCAGTGGTTGCCAGACTTGGAGATGGACTGGGGATTGACTCAAAAACAGGCACTTGTTGAAGGAGTAAAAATATTATAAATGTTCTAAAACTGGATTGTCGTCATACTGGCTCAATTTTATAAACTTGCTAAAAATCATTGTACTTACTGTACATTCACAATAGGTAGATTTTATGTAAGTATATGCCTCAGTCAGAGTGTTTTCTTTTTCTTTTTCTTTTTTCTGGTATTGAGAATTGAACCCAGGGCCTCACACCTGATAGGCAAGCACTCTACCACTGAGTAATGTTCCCAACCCTTTTTATATTCGATTTTGAGACATGGTCTCACTGTTGCCCGGGCTGGTCTCAAACTTTGGATCCTTCTGCTTTGACTTCTCCAGTTCTGGGACTGCAGGCGTGCATTACTACACCTGGCCAGGCAAAGGGGTTTGTTTGTTTCTTTGTTTATTGAGTGTTGTTGTTGTTGTTGTTGTTGTTTTGTTAAGGAGGGATCTTGTTCAGGCTGGCCTTGAACTGACTATGTAGCCCAGACTGGCCTTAAGTTCTTGGAAATTCTCCTGCCTCAACCTCCCAAGTAATGGGATTATAGGTGTACACCATCATGCCTGGCAAAGTATTTATTTTTAAAAATGAGATTCAGTCAGGTGTGGTAGCACACGTTTGTAATTCCAGCACTACGGGGGGAGACTGAGACAGGAGGATTCCAAGTTCAAGCCCAGACTGGACAATTTAGCAAGACCTTGTCTCAAAATAAAAAATAAAGGGGCAGGGCTTCGGGGGATGTAACTTAGTGTGAAAGCCCTGTTCAATCCTCAGTACCACACACACAAAAACAGGATGAGGTGGATATGGGGGGAAAAAAGATTAACACCCTCTACATAAACATGAATAGATGTAGATACAGATATATATATATAGATATAGATAAAGTAGCCTGTTATAAAAGCTCAGCTCCACACTCTTCATAAAGCCCACTTTTGAGGAGGGGAGTAGAAATGAGTAGCTGAGAAGAGAAACTTTTGCTTGATAATGAAAGTCAATTCCTTGGATTATTTTTTTAAGTAAGAAAAAATCGGAAATGTAGCTTAGTGGTGGAGTGCATACCTAGCATGTTCTAGGCCCTAGATTCCATCCCCAGTACCACAAAGAAGGAAGGAAGGAAAAGAAAGGACAAGAAATCAGGAGGAGGGAAGGAAGGAGAGAGGGAGGAAAAGGAAAAAAGAGGAAACAGCGTGGCAGGTACAGCTTAGGAGCACAACCCTTGACTACCACACCAGGGACCTGGGTTCAACACTAGCACAGCAAAAAATATTTTAAAAATAGATTTAATTAAAACTCAACCCAGAAAGAGAAAAAAGACAATACAAAGCAGAGGGGCTAGGTGATGGCAAACCTTTTAGAGCTTTCAATGATACTAAGCAGCTGGCTGTGGCACATACCATAGGTTCGCCACCACTGGGCTGGGGCTGTGGCTAGTTCATCCCCACACACCTTCTTTTGTAATCATTGGGCCCATAAGTTTAGGAGTTAACACTTTTAAGCAGTAAACTCAATGTGTCTAGAGTTAAGGGCTTAAGAAATGATCTGGTCCAGTCCTTTTGTTCTATAGGTGGGGAAACCGAGGCCCATTCCACGCCAGAAATCACTGGGCCAGGGCCCGGGCTGAAGTCCAGCCTCAGGCAAGGCTCACAGCTCCACCCCCAAACTGAGCTCCGTACAAAGTGTCTCATGTCTCCAGGAAAGGGGAGTTTATAAATTTGGCCACATTTTGGAACAACAGAGCCATAAATGGACACGGCTGAGGGAGGCTGGGACGTACCTGACCTTTGAGGCTGGGGATGGGGGGGTGAGGACAGAAAAGGGGGCGATTCCAGCCACGGCCTGGTTTCAGCATCCGGGAGAAAATAACACTGGAGAGAAGGCAGGGAGGGAGGGTCAATGAAGCAGGGAAACACGAAGGGACCGGCTAACCGTGTTCCAGTTCCCTCTCTGCCACCTGCAGAGCTCCAGCAAACAAATGCCTTCGCGTCTCTGAGCCCCAGGGACCGTCCAACTGGGCATTTGAAGAGAACCTACAAGGAGTGCGTAAAAAAGCAGAGGCCCAAGCCCCCCGTGTATTTACCGAGAATCAGATTCTTCTAAGGGTGGGGCCCAGGCAGCTGTGATTGCTGGAAGCGTCCTGGGATGTTCTGCTGTGGCGAGAGAAAAGTGGAATTTAGAAGGCCATACCCTCTAGGCTCTAGGCACTTACAACGGGTCTTGCAGAATCATCATTCTGACTAGTCTGTGTTGCCTGTGGAGGAAAGTTTAGCAGGTCTAGCACGTATGGCATCCAAAACCTCCACAGCAACCTCTTGAAAAACCTCGCTCCCCCCAGTAGCCCTTCACACCCACATTTAGCAACCACAGTCTCCTCTCTGTGGTCCCAGATAAAAAGCAAGTCCATGTCCCCCATAGGGGCCCTAAAAGTGGGAAGCGAATTTCTCTTCCATTTCCAACACAGTATATTCATTCACACCTCCGAGCCCCATTTGGAGGAGTGGGTACGGAGAAATGCACCCCCACTTCCTCCTTCATTCAGCCTTTTGTGTCTCTGTGTCCATAACCTGAATCACCATTTCTTCTGAGTCCCGTTGCCCTCATGCATAAATAAATGTGCGAATGAATCCTTATCAACTGACCTCCTGCTCTGATAGCCAGTGATATTTGTAGCTACGGTATTCGTTGAAATACAGTCAAAACTAGACCTTCTGAGTCAACTCTGAACTGAATGAAGCAACCAATGAAAAATAGTGAACATTTTTACAGGGTACAGTGTTAGAGGGGTGAGGCTTAACCACGCGAAGAGAGGAATCACAGGGGTCTTCTGTGTGGGAGGGATGACTTGCCTTCCAAACCTTAGATTCTCTGATTCTCTGAGCCTGATCTGTGTTTTAAACACACAAACACGCACACACGCACAAACAAACAAAATCCCTCAAAGCCTCAGAACTTGGCTAACACCCATAAGATTGCTTTTCTGTTTTTTTAAAAAAACGTTTTCCCACTGGGTCTTCAGTTTTGTATATCCAGCAGTTGGCATTCACCCAAGGGGAAAAATTTGTTGGGACAAATGGCCTTCCGTCCTTCTGTCATTGTCCTCTGGATCGCAGCTGATGGCTGCTAGAGGGTCATTTCCTGTGGCCTTAGCAGGGTGGAGGGCGAGGTGGGGGGGCCAGGCCTTCCCACGGATGCAGCTGTGTCAGACCACTTCCTGAGGGGACAGCACTCTGGGGGAGGAAGGTGGGGCAGGCAAGGGGCAGCCCCCGAGGAGGTCAGGCCAGCAGCTCTACCCAACAGCTTATTATCAAGTCACTTCCTTGAGGTTTAACAAAACAATGGGGCCAAGTTCCCAGGTTGGCCCACCAGAAGAGCCTGCTGCACTGATATTGGAGGGAGAGTCATTTGTCTAGGATGAAAAGTACCCAGCCCATCAGAAGGTCTGAGCCACACAATTTCAAAACTCATGGAATTCATGCCACTGGACCCAAGAAGTGAGACTGGGCTGTAGCTGGGAGACAGAAAATCCCTTCCCTCACCACAGACCAGGAAACAGAGGGCTCCAGGCATGAGGAGCCCTGAACTCCACATCTATCCAGGCTGCACACACACACACACACACACACACACACACACTCCAAATTCTGCTGAGTTTCTAGGCTCACCCCTCCTGATTATAATCAAAGTGGCACTCTGCCCCCAGAGAAGACAGTGAGTGTGTGGGGGCAGTGTCTGGCCCATACCCCTGCAATTCCTCAGGAAAACCCATGAATCTTTTTCAGGATTATGTGTAGCGCTTTCACTTTTCCTTGCTCATTACCCCAGGAGAGATATTTTGAGTTTTGTTGTTGTTTGGTTGGTTTGATTTTGGTTTTTATGATGGGGTCTTACTTTGTAGCGCAGGCTGGTATTGAACTCACTCCATAGCCCAGGCTGGCTTCAAACTTGCAATGATCCTCCTGCCTCAGACTCCTGAGTGCTGGGATTAAAGGCACGTGCCACCAGGTCCAGCAGAGATGGTTTCTCTAGGATTCCTTCTTGCTGCCTCAGGGACTTTGCTCCAGCCCATTCCTCTGCCTGTATCACAAGGCAAAGTGGTAAAAGAACCTTAATGTCTTCCCTCTTAAAACTAACCACAATTAACACTAATGATTTGTATAGTTATTGTGTGACGTTGTCTTCTTCCAAAGTACCACTGAAAACATTTCATCATTGAAGATGTTGTTTCCAAAGTCACTAAAGAAAGGGAAATAGAGAAAGTACAGTGAGTGATCTGTTGGGCTTCATGGGCCAAACCAGGGAGTGCTACACATATCTTCTGATCACATTTTTATTGGCTGGAATTAGTCACATGGTCCCTCATAACTGCAAGGGAGGCTTGGAACCATGGTCCAGCTGAGTGTTGAAGGGGTATGTGGATATTCACATGAACTAGCAGACTGCTGTAGTGAGGCAGGGTGATTCTTCAACAAGGGAAGGGGTGGGGGACTGGACAGGCAAAAGCCTCACCGTGCACACGACCTCTACCTCCGTACCCAGGGAGGGAGAGGCAAGTCTCCTGGGCCTGTGTCTGCCCTTTCCTGTGAATGTAAAACTAATCAGTGGGGAGCCCTGGAACGCCACCACCCATATCCCCCTGACAACTACCTCTACCACCAACAGCTCTTTGAATACTCCTAACTCTGTCTCCGCACTGTCTAGTAAGTGGGACATGCGGACAGCTCCAGAAGCAACCTCCACCAGTGAAGGGTGAGGAACGGACAGGCAGAGGCCCCCGATCCTTTGTTCCTTGGTCGGCCTTGCTGACTCACACTCTATACCGTCTCTGACAGTTCCCCACACAGGATGAGCTCCAACTGACCACTGAAATAACTGAGTCCACATAACACTGTCTCCCTGTCTCACCTCCCTACCCCCTACAGGTATTCCCCGGGATCACCTCCCATATAAATGAGTTGCACGTTTGTATTCATCTTGGGATCTGTTTCCGGGAGTACCCAAACTCAGGATGTGCCCCAGGGTCCGGGCAGTGATCTGTACTCTTCTTTCCTACCATGCACAGCCTTGTACACAAAAGGTCCTCCTCAATCCCCCCGCATGTGTGTGTGTGTGTGTGTGTGTGTGTGTGTGTGTGTGTGTGTGTGTAACAGGGTCTGACTGTGTTACCTAGGCTGGCCTTGAAGTTGTAGTCTTGTGTTAGCCTCCCAAGTAACTAGGGTTATAGGCAGGTACCAACACCATGAACAGCTCAATCATCCTTTTCTTTTTTTTTTTTTTTTTTTTTTGGTACCAGGGATCGAACTCAAGTCCTTGTGCTTACAAGACAGGCAGTGGAACCAATGAGCTAAACCCCTGGCTCAATCATCCTTGTAAAAAACTGTTTAGAAACACACAAAACACATGTCAGTGAGCGGTCATCTTGGCCAGGGATCCTGCAGACTTACCAGAAGGAGGGCCTCATGTACTTTTTTTTTTAAAAGCCATGGAGGATTAATCTGCTCATCCTGTTTCTTTCCCACACACAGGAAATCCTGGACAGGCAGAGCTTCCTGACTGAGGAAGCTTATAGCAGCACCAGGTCAAAACTCATCTCTTCATAAAACGAAATACTTAGGTGGTTGGAGAGAATCCATGTCACTTGCTTCACTGCCTGGAGGAAGGGAAAGATCAGAGTTCAGGGTTCTAGTTCTATTCTACCGACAGTTGACTGCCTCTTTAGGTTGTCCCGCCTTAGGCTCCTATCTGTGCAGTAAAGACATGGAGTAATGGAGCTTCGGGTCACCTTTGAATTACTGGACTCTGCATCTCTTCAGGACTTGGAACGGGGCTTGGCACTGTATTTCACTTGAGAACACTTTTAAGAGATTCAGGAAGTCAAGGGAGATAAGTATTCTGTGTGTTTTGGAAACCAACAGTAGAGGCTCTTAAAGGGTTAGAGTAGTTTGTCCCGTAGATGGAATTTTCCATGGAAAAAATATTGCTAAATATATATTTTCTTAATAAATTCTCACTCGCTGGCCACCTTTCCTGTTTCCCTCTTCTCTCTTGTTCCCGTCTCTACCGCACAGCGGCCAGTTGGATCGCGTGTATGGATACTGGGTGCTTTGCACATGGTGGATGATTTTGACTACCACATTGAATTTCATTTCCAACCTGATGTCTTCTAGGAAAGCACTCTAGAAAGCTTGATGTAACTGTGTCTAAAGAAAAGGTAAAGAGGCTGTGAATGAAGGCCAGAAAAAGCTCGCCTGAGAGAAAGTGCTGGTATGGGCTTGTGGCATTTTTTTTCCAGTTGTCCTTTTAACTTCTTTTCAGATTTTAGATAAGTAAAGTTATGCATGGTGTCCCACTTATGTGAAATGTCACAGTGCATGTTGGGTGTATCAGTTTAGGGATATTTTAGGTTGCCAGTTGCAAAATATAGTGTGTTAAATAACAAGGACATGGATTGTTTGCTTACCTACAAATCTGGAAGCTCTAGATCACAGGGTTGGCCCTCCAGCTCAATAATGTCATGAAAGATACATGTTCATCCTACTTTATCACACCTCTATTCTTACATTTCAATGCCACGGGGTCCCAAGGTGGCCACAATTTCCATACACTGAGCTCTCCCCTCCCTTCTAATTATTTGATCTTAAAAGCTTTCTAGAAGCATTCCTGCATACTTCTCTTTATGCCTTTCCCTTATTACCACAAGCCACATGATATATTATTATTGTTGTTGTTGGAATTATTAGTTATCCATTACGGTAAAACAAGTTACCCAAGGCCTAATTGCTTAAACAACTTTAAACATTTATTATCTCTCCTACTTTTTGGGTTTGTTTGTTTTTTGTTGTTGTTGTTTGGGGGGGTTGTTTTGTTTGGGGGGGTTTTTTGGTTTTTGTTTTGAAACAGGGTCTCCCTATGTAGTTCAGACTGGCCCTAAACTCACTACATAGCCTAGGCTGGCCTCCATCCCCCTGCCTCAGCCTCCTGAGTGCTGGGATTACAGGTGTGTGCCATCACACCTGGCTATCTCTGATTCTTTTTGTGGGTCTGGTATCCATCCAGGAATAGTTTAATTGGGTACTTCTAGCTCAACATCTCTGAGCTGATTTGTGCCCAGATCTTAATTTATAAAGGTGACTGAGTGACAACACAGAAAAGTAAATACCACTGAAAGAAAAATTTAATGTTACTGATGGTTCCCCTAGAAACGGGAGGCACAGTGTGCCATTCAGGGCCAAAGGGGAAAGCACTGGTGTCAGTTAGGAGACAGAAAGAAGCATAGGCCACAAACTTTATTGGGGTTTCCATGGGACAAGGTTTAGGATTGGCTAGTTTGAATAATTTCAGGGGCTCTGGAGGTGTAGAGGATGTCTGTAGTTGGTACCTGGCCCTTGGTTGGCATAGGGCAGAATGAGGTTAGATAAAAGGTTCTAGGGAATGCCTGAGATTCGTTGGTATGTATATGAAAGATAGGCTTACTATGAAGTTGTTTATTGTCTCTAGGCAAGTTCTCCTCAACCAGAAAGCCCTCCTCCCCATGCAAAAAGTAAATAAAAAAGAAATCATAAAATACAGAAAATTTTAAAATATGATGTGTGCTTGTACTCCCACCTACTTGGGAAGCTGAGTCAGAAGGATCACTTGAGCCCAGGAGTTTGAGACCAGCCAAACAACACAGCAAGACCTTACCCCAGAAAACAAAACAAAAACTATGACTGACATAAACATATCTCTAACTTGTGGTGAAGTCACAAAATGTTGGCTCGCACTGTAGTCATCTGAAAGCTTGACTCAGACTAGAGCTGCGTCCACACTGGCGAGCTGAGGCTCAGAAGCAACAATGGCTTTTATAAATTGCCACAGAAGTTGCTCTTTGAAGTGAGTCTCTAAGTCCAGCCTACATCCAAAGGGAAGGGATGATTCTTTTGAAAGGCAAAATGTCAGAGAACTGCCAGGTACATATTTTTAAAACCCTCAGGTCCTCCCTGATGGCAGGGAGCCTGGGAGAGCAAAAGGAGGACAGGATTGTGACGACCTGCTTAGACCTATCATTACTCATCATCCGGGACACACTGCCACCCCAGACAAACTCGGGGTTTAGTTAGCGAGAAAGGAGAAGGAAGGCTGCTGGGAAAGTGGGCTACAGTGCCCCACAATGGAGACGATAAAAGAGAAGAAAAATAGAGCCCGGGTAAATATGCGTCCTAATATTCTATGGGACATGCTGTTCTGAAAAGATAATTTATTTACCTGAAGTCAAATTTCACTGTTTCTGTTTGTTTTGTGGTACTGGGGACTGAGCGTAGGATTTCACACTGAAGTACATCCTCCGCCCCTTCTCTATTTTTTTATTTTGTTTGTTTGAGACAGGGTCTCACTGCGTAGTTGAGACTGACTTGGAATTCACTATGTAGTCCAGGCTGGTCTCAAACTCACAGCGATCCTCCTGCCTCAGCCTCCCAAGTGCTGGGATTACAGGCCTGCACCACCACTCCTGGCTTCTTTTTGTCGTTGTTGTTTTGAGACAAGTTCTCACTCAATTGCCCAGACTAGGCTCTAATTTGTAATCCTCTTGCCTCAGCCTCCTGAAGTGCTGGGATTAGGGGCACGAACCATCACACCCATGTTTTGTATTTTTATTGGCTACATCTAGTTAGGCAATTAGTCTTCAGTGGTCATAAGAGGAAGTCAGTGGGGGATGGGACTTCTTGGAAAGAGGGAGCAAAGGACTGATTATGGGAGGAGCAGATATCTCAAATCCCAGATCAATCTCGGGTCAGAGAAGGAGTTGGGACATCAAGCCCAGTGAGGCTGAGGTCTCCTCTGGTCCTATTTACTCTGCTCTGCTCCCCTACTAACTTTACATCATCGATTGCCAGAATCAGTACCACCATCTTGTCTACCTTCAACTCAGAAAACAGCTAGAGGGGCTGAGAGCGGAGCTCAGTAGGACAGTGCATGCTGAGCATGTGAAAGACCTTGGGTTAAAAAAAATAATAAAACAGCCAGGGGCCAGGGATTTAGCTCAGTAGTTCTGCTGCCTGCCTGGAAAGCGCAAGGTCCTGCGTTTGATCCCAGGTACAAAAAAAAAAAGCCAGGAAGCTTTAACCAGAAGCTCTTCTCTTTCCAACATTCTGAAAAAGAACTCACAAAGCCAAAGTACCTTGCTGAAAAATACATTGGGAACTGTGGGAACTTTGAGCTCCGCTGCGTGACCTCGGGCACAGTCTTCCCCTCTCTGGGCCTCTCTTTCCTTGGCTGTCCACTGAAACATTGGTCTACATCATCTCCCAGGGCCCTTGTACTTGGCCTCGACTTGTCTTTCTCCCAGAAGAAACACCAGAGGGAACAAAAGGACGTGGGTGATTTCTTCTCATCTTATCTGCAAGCTAAATTCTGAGGAAAATGTCCAGTGTGGCAACTTAGATTTAATATAAACAATGGTGCGTTAATACACTGTACTCACAAATACCCAAAAAGGAGTACCAGATGGGCTATTTTTATCCCTTAAAACACACACACACACACACACACACATCCTCATCACCCACATCAGCTAAGCCTCTCCAGTTGGTTTTTATAAGATAGAGTTCCAGTTAAAGGTGCTAATTAAACAGCTCTGACTTGGGGCAGGAGGAAGGCTGGCAAGAGCCTCCTGGCTGGGCATGATGTCACCGTAGGCAATTGTGAGTTTCTCATGACCGAGGAATGTGAGTGTGTTTGCACTGCACGACGGAGCTAGTGAGGCAAGCACAGCTGGTAAACAGGCTCCAGACAGGCAGGCCCTGTGTGGAGCCGCAGTGCAGAGGTCTGGCTGGGGCCCAGCTCTGGTTTAACTCCTTCCTGGCAGGAGTAGTGTGTGGGCCGCTGAGGTTTGGCCACAGAGCCTCCTCCACCCCAGCCCTGCCTCTCTCGGGTCCAGTTCCCGCTTGGTGTCGAGCCCTGAATCTGAAGTCACTGAGAACTGCATCCCCCCACACAAACACACCTTTTGCTTGCTTTGAGGCCTTGTGTATGTGACTTCTGGACCCTGACTCTCATCTGTGCAGTGTGACAAGGAATTGAGACTTTAATCTCCTATCTGCACCTCCACAGTCCAGAAAATCCAGATAACCAAAAGCTTTCTGCTCAAAGAAAAACCCATTTAGGGGCAAAACCTCACCTGAATGAACTTTGGCTATGAGAGTCTACATGTTCCACTTAAAGGCCGTACTCTGAAGCCAGCAGTGGTAGTGTGAGCTGAATAGTTCCATCTATTCAGGAGGCTGAGGCAGGAGTATTGCTTTAGCCCAGGAGTTCCAGAGCAGCCTAGGCAAATAGTGAGACCCTATCTCAAAACAAAAAGAACACAAAACGTTTCTAACCATAGCATTATTCTTAGGTGGGCCCCATTGGAACACCTTTTAAAATCTAAAACCAGTTTCTGAATTCTGAAATGCTTCCAGGCCCAAGAATGTTGACCAGGAGAGGTGAGCTCGAGGCATTTGCCCCTCCATATAAAGGGACTTCATGACCCTTCTCCTAAAATGGCAGTTCCTGGGGAAAAGACTAAGCTCTGTCCTCTGTGTCCCCAGCAGCCATTTCACTGGCTGGCACAGCAGCTACACAACCAACAGTTGTCAAAACCACAGCTGAAGTTATTCACATCCTATAAAAGCTGTGGAGGTGGATGATGGGAAACTGAGGCCTGAGCCTCTGAACTTGTGTGGATCTTTTCCCACAGATGGAGTTTTAACTTCCCCAAAAAAGGTAGCTGCTCACATTTCTTTACACGGTTCTCTGCTGGCTGCTCACAAACATCTTGGTGACCCCCTTCCAACATTCCAGGGCAGCCTCCTCCCCTGCTGGCTGCTTCGTGGGCCCTGATGAGTTTTCTTTGGAGAAGGTTCAGCTGATATAAAAGCGGGGGCCCTTGCTTTAAAGCAGCGGGTAGGGAAGGCCTGGTAACAGAGTAAAATGGGGACTGGGAGTGTCTGGGGAGGATGGGATCTGATGGCCAGCTTGGGACTGATAACCAGACCCCGGGACCCTTCCAAGGACTGTGACTGGATCGGTCAGGCTTCGTCTTAACCTCAAGGCAGTAGAATTATCCAGACCCATCAGGAGCTTCCTGGAAGTAAAAGCCCTCCCCAGGGTTCTATGACCTACCCCCAACTGCTGTAGGGCCCAAAGTTACTCCCTTTGCCTCTCTGGGCCTTACCAAGATAGGGTTGGAGAATCCGGCACGACACAGCAGCGCTGGGGTCATGGAGACAGACTTGAGTTCGAGCCCCGACCTTCCTCTTGCTGGGCAGGGAACCAGAACAAGTCAGTCTCTCTCTCTGAGCCTCCATTTCCACACCTGTAAAATGGCACAAGCTTACAGGGATGTCATCCAGATGAAAGTGCCTGGCAATAGGGATGATAAAGAAATGTTACACAATATTATTACCCTGGGCGCGCACAAGTCTCCAGATCTGATGTTCTACACTAATCACCTCACTGACAGAGCACCCTCCGTGTTCCAGGCACTGTCCAAAGTGCTTCACAAGTGTTGTTGCATTTCATCCTCTCAGCACATCTCAAACAGGTACTAGCACTGTCTCTGTTTTTCCGAGGAGGAGGCTGAGGTTCAGTGGAGTGGCACGACTTCTCCAAGGCCACACAACTGGTTATTAACAAAGCTGGAATCTGTTGGACTCAAGTGTTTCATACTTTGCCTTCAGGAAAGATCTAGCAGTCAAGTCCACGCTCAGTGCCCTGAAGCAAGAGATTCCAAGCTCATGGGCTCCCTCCTGATAGGGCATATGTCCTTGGGCAGTGCTGAGGCCTCAATTTCCCCCCTCTGAACCATGGGAAAGACCATCCCTGCTTGACCAGTAGGGTTCTGGCAAAGGTGAAAAGGACTTTGTTGGCTCTGAGCTGGGACGGACATCCTGAAAGTCTTAGATGGGGTTGGGGGACAGGGAAAGAATGAATCCTCTCCTAGACACCCTGATGAGTATCAGGCCATATCAAATCACAGAGTGGCTAGAGAAAGGATAAGGTGAGTGAGGGATGGCTGCCTCCAAACTGGAAAGGTTCTGGGTAAGCAGACTATTTGGGAGCCAAATACTGAAAGAGAAGTAGTCTCTGCCCTCACCCAAGGCTCGAGCCTTGGTGTGGTTCCGCCTTCCCCTGGGAGCTGGGAAGTATTGGCTGGATGTCTTTTGGACTTTGCCTCTCTCAAAGTAAGGCTTAACAGCTGTGCAGTGGGACGGTAATGACAGCACCCCACCGGGACTGTAATAAGGACAAGCTTTGGCCTGTTATCTTAGTTCATTCCTGCTGCTATAAAAAATATTTTAGACTGGATCAGTTGTAATGAACCAAAATGCATTGCTCACAGTTCTGGAGGCTGGGGAGTCCAAGATCAAGTTGCTGGCAGATTTGGTATCTGGTGAGGACACAGTCCTCAGAGATGGCACCTTCTATGTGCCCTCAAGTGGTAGAAAGGGCAGGCCGGGGATTTAGCTCAGTGGTTCTGCTGCCTGCCTTGCAAGCACAAGGTCCCAAATTCGATCCCCGGTACCAAAAAAAAGGGGGCGGGGGCCAAAGCTTCCTCAGGCCTCTTTCCTAAAGTTCACTAAAGCCCAAGGGTGGAGCCCTCATGATTTAATCACTCCCCAAACCCCCACTTCTTAATACCACCACATTGCAGATTATGTTTCAGCGTGTGAACTTGTGGGGTACACATCCAGACTGTAACACATGTGGACAGTGTTTCAGCAGTTATCTTTTACAGCCGGGTCTGCAATTTTCCAGGAGTTTTCTGTTCTGCTAAAAGAAGAATCTGAACCAGACATAGCGACACATACCTGTAGTTCCAGCGTTCTGGGAGGCTGGGACAGGAGAATCACAAGTTTGAGGTCAGCCTGGGCAACTTAGCAACTTAGCAAAACCCTGTTTCAAATTTTTTTTTTTTAATTTTAAATGACTGGAGATGTAGCTCAGTGTGGAGGTCCCGGGTTGAAACCCCAGTACCATAAAAAGAAAATAGAGGAGAAAGAAGAGCCACTGCTGAGCGTAAAGTGCCTGGTGCGGGTAAGTGCTGACGGATGGGTAGGTGGATGGGTAGGTGGATGGGGTGCATGACTTATTCAAGGTAACAAAGGCATAAAGTAACTCCAGTGATGCCTCACACTGGGCCATGAGGGTCACGTGAGAGCTCGAGAGAGACAGGACTCTGCGTGGATGGGACTTTGTAAGCATAGGCTTGAAGTGAGGAATGGCTGCAGCACGGATAAAGACATTGGTCTCGTGTTTCCTTTCAGGATCTTGCCCAACAAGATCTTGAGGAGCAGTATCTGGATGGATCCTCTTCCAGAGTTCTCTGGAGCAAAGCCAGGAAGTTAAGTAGGGATTAGAGTCCCTCAGCCCAGATGAGCAGCCAGTAGCCCCGCCTGAGGGTCTGGCCCTGAAGGGCCAGGTCTGGCTATATATGGTTTTCAAGGAGCTGGGAGGCTTCTCAGTCCCTCTACTGCCCACGCACATGAGCGAGGCCACCCACAGTAGCTGAGTCAGGGAGGCAGCAAGGGTCGGGAACAGAGGCTCCCGGATGGGGTGACTGAAAGCACAGTGGTTCAGAGCCAAGCCTCTAGCTAGAGTCAAGAAGTTTTAATCAAGCTCCCTCTGTGATAAGAATGTGACTCCGGGCCAGAACACCACTTCTTAAAAGTTCCATTTTCTTTTCTTTTTCTTTTTATCTCTCCCCGCCCCAACCACAGACAGGGTCTCACTGTGCAGCCAAGGCTGGCCTTAAACTTACAATCCTCCTGTCTCAGCCTCCCAAGTGCTGGGGTTACACGCACGCACCACCATCTCTAGATCCATTTTATTTACCTATCATGGAAAATAATAGTGATACTGACAAACACCACTGCTGACTTTATTGTGCTCTAGCCTATGATAAGAACTCTACTTATGTTATTGTACATAATTCTTACTACAATAAAAAATTATTGTTGCCATGAAACAACTACATTTGACTTTTGTCTCTCATCTATGCCAGTAAGTTACAAATTGAAAGGGGGTTCGGGTGCCCCTTCCCAATTAGGCCACTCACGCACGGAGAGGTCCGGCAGGAGATCTTTACTGTAGGGAGGCGAGCAGGAGGCAGGAAGGCAGAGAGCAAGAGAGAGAGAGAGAGAGAGAGAGAGAGGAGGACGAAGAAGCAGGAGAAGAGAAGAACAAAGGAAGGAAGGTCCTTTTATCAGTTTTGGGGTGGGCTAGTGCTTATTTATGAGGAGTGAGCTACTTTTAACCTATCACAGGCCAGATTGCTTTTATGGGCCCAGTCCTGCAGACACAGGTTTCAACTTTCCTGGACCACTGTGGCCTTGGGGGGAGGGAAACCAGAGATAACAGCATGAGGTCATTTTAGGAGCCAAGAGGTACCAGGAGAATGCAGCCTGTGAGGCGGCGTCACAGCGTCCTTTAACATGATCAGTTCCCTAACACAGATTACTTCAAGCCTTTGTTGATGTAGTCTCCCCGATCTGTAGTCTCTTCCTCTCTCACCAGCTCTCAGAGGCGATTCTTCTGGACTAGCAGAAAACCCCTTGAAGATGAAGACCCAGGGGCCAAAAGGTAACTTTAACACTGGGCATCCTTCATTGCCCGTGTTAGGTGTTCAAAACTTACTTTCTGACTGTGAAACCCGGATTTCCAGATGAAAAGATTGAGGCACGGAGAGGTGACTTGTGTACAAGAAAGAGAAAGAACTAGGAAGAGCTTACAACTTCCTGTACCTCTCTATGTTATCGTTTCTGTTACTCGGCCATTGTCCCTTCAACATCCCCAACCATTTCTGGGAAACAAAACCCGACATCTCTTCTCCCCTCTTCCACACTCCAAAGTGTGGCCAAAGCCTCACTCAGCCCCTTGCAATAGTCTTGCACAAAATGTAGGCTAGAGAACTCCATTTTGCAGTTAGGGAAAGTGAGGCTCAGAGAAGTAAAACTAGCTGAGACTTGGCAATCAGCCAGAAGACGAGGCGAGGACCCCTGTGCTGTCCGATCCCACTGCTGTGCTCTCCTTGCCGTGCGGGCTGGTTTTTGACATGGGTGTGGGGGTTTACCTCTCCTCTCTCCCCTAGACAAAGAGAAAATGAACCTGAGAAGGAAAGATCGATCAGACAGAGGACTGTAGATGTACTCCGTGGTAAAGCACTGGCACAGTATGTGTGAGGCCTTCAGTTTGATGCCCAGCAGTGCGGGGGTGGGGGGGGCACTGTTGAGCAGAACTAGTAGGGCGTTTTGCAAATAAGTAAAAAAAAAAAAAAAAAAAAAAAGGAAAAAAAAAAAAAAAAAAAAAAAAAAAATAAAAAAAAGGGCGTTTTAAATAAGAAAAAAAAAAAAAAAAAAAAATAGGACATCCTTTGAAAATCATAAAAGAATGAGGTGAAAGAACAGGCTTAACAGTTCTAAACAGATCATCTCAACATTATGGGCAGGAGACCAGAACAGCTCTCTAAACCCATTAGCTCATCTCGTTTTTGGATTCCCACCCTACCAGGCACTCTGCTGGGAGCTGGGCATGGGCCATGCCCCAGAGGAGTCACTCCATGGGCACCTGGGCAGCACCTCCCAGACTCTGGCATCTCCCATCCCAGTAAACTTCCCTCCAAAAATGGGGAGTGCAGTTGACAACATTTTGTCACGTGTCCAAGAACAGTAAAGAAAAAGAAAAAGAAATTACTACTTTCAACTGTTGTCATCATCTCATAAAATTTAATAAGAAGGACTAAGCTCAGAATTTAGCAATTTAAATAGACTACCTGTGTAACTCACCACATTGTCCAAGCCTTCTCACTAGCTGCGGGCTGGGGGGCTGTATCTAAGGTGAGTATTTGGTAACTCTCACAAGAGTGAGGAAGAAACATTCATGCAAGTAACTCAGAATAGCTATATTCGCTGAGTATCTTTAGGTAGAAAGCCCCATAAAGTTCTTCCGCCTGCCTTAGTTTTTGAAAATGAATATTCCACGGAAGTTCTACCAGATTCTGGGGATAGGTAGCAGACAGAAAATTTCAAGAACACATGTAATCTGCCCCCGACCCCACGTTTTTCTCATCTGTGCTTATCTCTGTAATAATGTGGCAGCTCCTATGAGAAGATCATAGGTGGAGGGAAAAAAATGAAAGAAGCAGAGCTAAGCAGGGAAGGCGGGTAGACAATAACCACAGATGTCTACAGAGGCCACACACACAGTGTCGTAGGCATTCCAAAGGAAGACTGCCCTTGTAGCTGGGGAAATCAAGTAAGCGTCTCGGAAGAGGTGGCGTTTGAGTTGCGCCTTGAAGGTGAGAATGAGCTGGAACATAGGGATCCCAAACGCCATCGCGGAGCCCTGCGGGGAAGGGGATGGCACTCCACGGAGCTTTGTATTAACGCCTTCTTTCTCAAGCTTTTTATGGTTTTAAGAATTGAGATAGAAGTCACATATAAAATATTTTATAGGGGCTGGGTTTTTGTTTTGTTAACATATTTTAATGGGCACATAGTACTTGCACATACGGGGCACAGTGTGACATTCCGATACATATATACACTGTGCAATGATCAGAGCGCTATAATTGTCACATCTATCACCTCAGAGGTCTGTCTTTGTGTAAACACTCTTCATTTTGAAATAATTTTAAACTTCTAGAAAAGTTGCAAAAATCGTTCAGAGAGTTCTCTGAAACTCTTCTTACACCTTCACTTAGCCTCCCCTAATATGAACGTCCTACCTAACCTTAGCACCGTGATCAGAACCAGAAAACTAGCACAGGTACGATACTACGAACTGACCCCCAGACCTTATGTGAATTCTAGAAGTTTTTCTTTTGGTCTTACCCAGGCTCCTACACTGCACTTCCTTGTTATGTCTTCTTAGTCCCTGTGATCTGTGACAGTTCCTCGGTCTTTTTCTCTTGTGACCTCTGAAGAATACTGGCCCACTGCTATTTCATAGAATATTCTCCTATTGAATGCCTTATGCTTTTTTTTTTCACGTCTAGACTGAGGTTATGCACTTTTGGTGAAGACAGCACAGAGGTGCTGTTATGCCCTTCTTACTACATCGGATCAGGGGTTACGTTCTGTCGATTTGATTTATTACCAGTCATTGGTCACATAGTTAAGGAGATATCTGTTGGGTTCTTTCTTGTAAGAAATGTTCCTTGTAATTAATACCTTGTGGGAAGATATTTAAGAAAATATGCAAAAGTATACGTTTCTTACTTCGTTTGTTTGCCTTTGTTGTTTGTTTGTTTGAGACAGTGACTTACTATGTACTTCGTTTTAAAAAGTGCTATCAAATGTACATTTTTCACTTTTATGCAACACATGCCACTTTTCCAAGCTTGTGGGGTTCCAGAGCTTGGGTGTGCCGAGGAGAAATAGCACTGGTCTAAGATGCATGGCTTCTTCTCGTGCAGCTTTCATGACCTTTCCCAGCCGTAAGATGCTTATCTGTAAAATTGGTATCATCATATCTTACTACTCAGAGCTGCTGGAGAGAAGGGGGAGCCGTACTTCTGAAACTGTTTGGAAATATTAACTGGGGTTGTTAACTCTCCTTCTGGCTTCATCTCTGCCTGTTTGCAGTCTCTGCTTCCATCCTGCCCCTGTCCGTGCCCCCGAGCTTCTGTCTGCCCTCACTGGCATGACTCCCTCATCTTTCTTGCCAAGACTTACGTGTGATGTCATTTTGTAAGTTTTGGACTCACAAAGAGTCCTGTAGAGACTGACGTTTTCCTTCTAGAGCTTCTGCCTGCAGTTCTGGGGCCGCCTTAAGACACCAAGTGATACCTGGGACCTGTGGGTGGCAGACAGGAGAGCCCTCCTCCTCCTCCAGCAGAAATAAGTGAGAGAAGTAGGTCTTGCCTTCCTCCAACAATGCTGTTAGCCCATGGCGTATTGAAGAAGCCTGAACAGACTTTGTATCTCGCTTAGATATAACAGGGGCACACTTAAAATTAACTTCATAGCCCAGCATGGTGGCACATCCTCATAATCCCAGCTCCCTGGGAGGCTGAGGTAGGAAGATCAAAAATTCAGTCTGGACAGCTTAGTAAATTAGCGAGACCCTGTCTCAAAAAATGAAAAGGGCTGTAGGCTGGACTCCAGCCAACTAGCACCTGGCAGCAACTCAAGACTGCTGATTTGATTGCCCTCTACCAGTAGACTCTGGGGAATGATCTTCTGCTGAAGACTAAGGAAACAGCTTTCCTGGAAGGCCTAAGAACCTTTGGGTTTAGGGAGCAAACACCCTACTCCAATCATTCAGTGGATTCTTGTGGCCCTTAACCCAAACTATAATAGCCAAGAATCCCCTGAGATTCTTGGTAGAATTCAGTAGTTCTGGGCCAGGGATTTAGCTCAGTGGTGCTAATGCTGGCCTCACAAGCACAACATCCTGAGCTCAATCCCTACTACAAAAAAAAAAAAAAAAAAAAAAAAAAAAAAAAAAAT